CCCAACTGCCGCCCTCCTGCCGGCCTGCTCACCCCCAACTGCCCCCTCTTGCTGGCCTGATCGCCCCGAACTGCCCCAAACTGTCGGCCTGCTCGCCCCCAACTTCCCCCCCTGCTGGCCTGCTTGCTCTCAACTGCCCCCCCCTGCTGCCTGCTTGCCCCCAGCTGCCCCCCCTGCTGGCCTGCTCACCCCCAACTGCCCTCCCCTGCCAGCCTTATCGCCCCTAACCGCCTCTGCCTCGGCCCGCCACCATGGCTTTGTCTGGAAGGTCTCCCTTTTATTAGTATAGATTGGAGAGAAAAGGAGGGAGATGGATAGGATCCCACTATCAAATCCTGCCCTGAACTACCCTAATTAAGAGCTATGTTCCTCCCTACATTTCTTAAAAGAAGTTTCTTAAAAGAAGTTTCCAAGACAGCATCATGAATAAAAGGATCTGATAAAATCTTTCTTGAAAATGTTTTACATTCATCTCAGTAATAATTCAGTCAAGAATCATCAATGCATGCTAAAACTATGGGTGAAAGTTTAATGAGAAACAGGACAGTATCATAGTTTTAAGCTCTCTTCCTAGGAACTCTAAAGTAATAAAGTAATTATAAAGAAGAAACCTAACAGAAATCACCTGAATCAAGTGATCAAAGTTAATATTACCCCTAATAGGGTAAAATGACATTGTGTGCCTCCTGATATATAATATGATACACCAAGAAGACAATACCACCTGTGCTATTCCTGCCACAAAATAAACAAATTGAATCTAATCTTGAGGAAACATCAGACAAATGCAAACTGAGAAACATTTATCTTCACACTGTCTACATCAGAAAGACAAAGGATGCGGTTCCCGATTAAAGGAGGACTGAAAAGGCATGACCACCAAACATAAAGTGAGACCAGATTGTTTCTCATACTAAATTCTACAGCATATTATTGGGACAACCGGAGAAATAGGAATATGGACTGCTTAGTAACAATATTGTATTAATATTAAATTCCTGAATTTGATAACTGCATCAAAATATATTTTTTCTTAGGAAACGGATCCTGAAATGTTTAAGTGGTAAAGGAGCCTGCAACTTACTCTCAAATGGTTCAAAAATAAGTGATGAAAGTTCTTCATACTCATCTTGCAAATTTATATTTAAAATTACTTCAAAGTAAGTTTTATAATACTCTGCATGTAGATTTGTTGACGTCAGTATTGGAAAATGCGCATTTCAAAACATGCTTGATAATTTAAATATGCATAATGTACTTGTTTATACATTCAGATGAAGAGTCCTAAAAAATGTCTAAATTAAATGAAAAAAATAAAAGCAATTTTAAAGTTAAGTTTCAGATAACCTAGTCTAAATATGTTTTATGGAAACCACAAGTATAAGTTCGGAATTATATTTGGCTACATGTAACAGAGTCCCATCTAAATAATTGCTCCAACACACTGAAATGTCTCTTTTTCCTAATCTAGGTAGACTGGAGGAGAGCAGTCCAGATCTGAAAAGTGTATCTCATGGGATGTCAAAGATCTAAGCTCCTCCTGTCTTCCCACTAAACATTCTTATATGTGACAGTCATCAAATGTCGGTTACTCCACATCTCCTCTTCCAGCATTCTGTCCAAGTTTTAGGTAATATGAAGAAAAGAGCAAAGGACAAAAGGTGTCTGTGAAATGATTCTGCCTTCTTTAACAAACCCTATTTATTCAATAACTTCCATTTGAAGTCTCAGTTCTCATAGCAAAATAGTCACAT